AACCCCTCCATCCCTCCGTATTTACAAAGATTTTGTTCCTATTTTTCCATTTTCTCATATTAATTCCATTCCCTTCTTTCCTTTTCCCTACCCCTCCCACTTCCTTCCCCTTTGCCCCTTTTCTTCCTATTTCACATTATCTATTATACATTTTAGTCCTTATTTTGGGTATGTTTCTTTAACACAGGGCATAGTCTCTTAGGAAAAGAAGTACTGTATAGTCCTCACAGCAACTTGTTTACCAATCTGTTTTGTTCAGTTGAGATACAGAATCTTCAGAAATACTTTGAGAACAATTTCTAACAGAAAACATGGTAAATATTCATTTTCTAATAAAGTTCATGGTAAATTCATGAAAATAATACCGGCAAATTTACCTCACAGAGTCCTCAGAAGTAAAAAGCATTCCATTAAATAGTGTAGAAGCCTAAGAAATAAATAAGACTTGTATTTAAAATTGTTAAGTTAGTTCAATAGTGGGGCAGTTTTGCATTGAGTATTTAAAATTAGTCAAAGGAATTTATTTCTTCTGATGGCTATGAGATTTCTGAAACTGTCAAATATGAAGTTATAGTTGGGGTATACATGTATATATATAAGCCTTCCTTTAGTTTCTTTCAAGTGTGTAAAATAATGTGTGTTTTGAAGGGGTGCATTCATTATACGAGAGACTGGGAAAGAGGCAAGTTATAATACAGTGTGTGTGTGGTTGCAGTTGACTGACAGGATATCAACATCTGATGAAAAAAGAAGCTAAAGGAAGTTGCTTGATGGAAAAGAGATCAAGGAATTCTTCGTTACTCTATAAAGGTGTTTGTTTAGATCTACTAAACAGGGCCAACATACTGCAATATATATATTTACCAGCTGAGCTTCTGGAATGAGAGAAAATGAGTAACTTAATGAAGCATCATCCTTAGCACACAGATAATTTGGAAGCCTATTTGGGCACATAATGATACTTTTCTTTGACCTGTCAATTGCCTCTTTATTTTTTCAAACTTCCTGGTGCTATGTTATACATTATAAATTCATTGAAGAAATGGACTGTGAGTTACTCACCTTTGTGTCTCTGAAACCCTTGGTGCCCATTCAGTACATGTTAATTGATGTACACTGAATTGAAAAGAAGTAGCCCTCCTCTTTCTCCAGAGAGAGCAGTGGGCTGGAAGAAGTAGCCTATGAGTATTTTTAAGAAAGGCTGCTTTAAAATCAAAAGCAAGTCGAAGGTATGTGTAAGAGTGAGAAAAATATTCCCACAACTGAATATTACAGTTGAGTGAATTCCATGAGAACTGTTTAAACTAGGTATAAAATAAACAGTAATTATGAACCAATAACAATGACAGCTTAATGAGGTATTTTTTTTAACTAGGTGTTTGGATTATATTTTACTCTTTTTCTAAATTAAGAATTGGATTTTAAACTAGATAACTAGTGGCTAATGTCTCCTAGCATTTAGTGATGTTAATTAAAAGGAATATGTTTGATATGTTTTAAAAAGTGATAGATCAACCATGAAAATTATGTGTTTTTGTTCATCAGTCTTGGGAAAAGCCAAATGTAGGCACTGCCATTTGTCTTTTTTGTTTACTTCTATTAAAGATGAGCTGTACAGAGTAAAATAGTGACATGAGTGCTATTCTTACTAATCCAAACCAGTAAGATTAAAGACATGCTATCTACCACAATACTGTTAAGGAAATGTAGCGTTTTAGATTACGCTGTAATTTGTTGGTTTACTCACTGTCATCTCCTCTTGAGCATAAGCTTCCTGTGAATTAAGACTGCCTTCCAACCTCTCATCTCAGTATTTCCAAAGCATAATAGAACCTGACATGTTGCACACAATTACTAAATGATTGTGGAATGAGCAAATGAAGAAATGAATGAATGAATAATGAATGAACGAAATGTACTTTGTTGTAATATACTCTTCTGATTATACTAACTAGAAGCTCTCTTCTGCTTTTTTTTTATTAAATTCTTTTATTGGTACATTGTAGGTATACAACACAGTTACATTTCTCTTTGGGAATTGTACCTTTACATGATGCATCTTGGTTCTTATTTTTTCCCCATTCCTAGCCCTCCCTTCACGCCCTCCACCCTTCCCTGTTTACAAA